TTTCCTGAGAACACAAATAATAATTTGAGAACACTAATTACTATTAGTATGTTCTCATGAGAACAGCAATTAGACCTAAAATTTCGAACACTGATTGTGACCGCAGAATGATTTTATTAGCGTTACTTTATACATGTATTGTACTGTGTATTTGCAACTTGAAAGGTGTTGGAAAACACAACTCAAATAATATGGCAAAAAAAAGAAACCTATTGGTCTAAATTATTGTAATTAGGTTAATGTGTGCAACATTGGTTACTGATTTAAAAGTAAAATGTCTTAAGGTTTTGAATCTTCACTTTGCAATTTCATTTTGCTCAGCTAGTTTTACAAAGTAAGTCGTTGTTCACGAACATTTCATAAGTCTACATTTTTTTTCAGAAGAACTTACATCTTTTATTGCAAGCTTAAAGGAAATGGGAAGCAAGTACTGTTCAAGCTGCAAAGCAAACAAAAGTGTTAATAGTGATGACAATCACTGTCCAACATGTGGAACTGCATTCGGTATAGTGCTAAATCCTCATCCTCTACACTTGCAGAAGTCGCAACAACTTTTTCCAGTGTGATCAGTACATTGGTCAATCATGCTGATACTACTGGTGGTAAAGTTGATGTTGCTGTGGAAGTAGCGAATATTAAAATAACCGCTTCTTATACTCCAAAAACATAATATATGTCCGAAATTTTCTGTTGACTGGTCATGTTATTGTATCAGTTACTTTATTCATGTACAATATACAGTATAATTTTATTTTTAAAAATAGTAGGCAGATTTAATATTCTTTTTATATGTATTTATGAAATTTTGCAATAAAGTGATCAGTTATACAAGTACGGTCGAGCTCATTTAAAGCGAAGATAGATCATGTGACAATTACCAATCAAATTGCAGTTAGGGATTTTGCCAAATATGGACAATATAGATCATACCTTGTATAGTAAAGAAATGTTGATCACATGATTCTAGATTATTTGGTTGTACAAAAATCATGTATAATTGACCAATCAAATTTAACCACAACAAAATTTATTTATTAATTAAAAGAAGTTAGTTATAATTTGTCTTTTTTATAATGGCTTATTGTGAGGGATCAAATGGGATCATTTAAAGTAGACATCTTATATTAGCTAATCGAATATCGTTTAATATCGAATAAAAAATAAAATATCAAATGATTCCACGGTGAAAAAAATGTTACACAGCCAATCAAATTCATGAAATAACACAGAGATAATTCTAGAATGTGATTTCCTAATTTAGTAAAATCCCTGACTGAATTGTGAAAAAAAAGGGTAAATTTTTGTAGATTGACCCGTGATTAATTTTGATTGGTCGAAATGATTAATGAACATTACGTAAGCGTTGGGTAAAAATAGATACACCTGAATGTCTCTGCTACGCGTGATAAGTATATATCTGATATATTAAATGTTGTTTATAGAAGTTTGCTATTTATCGTTACTGGTGATCATCACCAGAATCAAAAACGGGACTAAGAAATGGGGTCAGTTGTACTAGTAAAAATGTTCAGAATCCCAAAAACCTAATGTAACCTAAAATTTAGGCTATTATATCTAACCCATGTCTTGATATCAAATTGCGCCCTAACACTAAATTTCAGTAAAAATTATATATAGTGATAAACACCACTGGTAATAAGTAGTTATTTTGTATTATATATTATAAAGTTGAATCTAATAAGCTACCGATAACCATAATTAGTATTGACCCAATCAAATTACTAACTTTATTAATAAATATTTGGCTATTTCGTCCACAATTAGGGGCAAAATGCATGTTTGTAACAAAGAATAATGGAAGAACTTTATTTATAAATTTATTATAATCCCTCTCGATCGGCTGTTCCCCGAAATTAAACAAGTAAATAACAACACAAGATAATCTTCAACAGTGATATATACTTTATGGAATTTACCTTTATTCAAAACCCCAATTATTTTTAAAATTGAATCCTTATTTGGTTCATTGCTAAGTCCAATCATAATAATCGAACCTATTTAAAACCTCAAATCTATTAAAAAAATAGATACAGATAGAGGTTAAATAAAGGTTAAATCCCCCAATTTAGCCGAATTGTTTCTGTGCGAGTATCTGTTGTTAATACCAGGAACGGAGTACAAAGTACGTAGAGTATGGTTTAATGGCAAGTGAAATGGTGTATCCGAATACGTGTATCTGATTGGATTGCATCTTCATGTGATTTTGTGATACATCTATATTTGTTGGCTTTT